TATATCATTGCCTCGTCTTCCGTGGGTACCCTCACTCCATATACAACAATATGCTTGCTTATTCAAGTTACAATGTGCTGTTAAGTTATACGTGTTTAATTTTCTGCTATAGAAAAAACATGATACATTAGATCGCGGTAATGCGAAAACATTTTCCAAGTCAAAACATACGATAGCGGTTCGCTCATCTTCATTTTTCCTGTCCAAATCACGAACCATTTTGGCAGATCTTTTTCCCTCTATGTGATTTTCAAACTTAATTTTCTGTTGTTCTGCAATTTCAGTGCCTCTCTTCTGGATCAACAGGAACTCTTCGCACGTGTCGCATCGATCTTTTTTGGGTTTTATAAAATCTATATTAAATTCATAATTGAATATATGCCTATAACAGTGTTTTTTGACTGGTTCTATTTGATTTTCAGCACAATATTCAACATACAGGCTGTATAATCTACTCATATTTAAAGTTCCTTCAAAATATTCTTTCTTGCTGTCCATTCTGCAGTAATGAGAGTCAACTCGGGGAATACTGTTAATATGATTTCGAACATCTTGTTTAGCAATCTCACCGACTACTTTTTTAGGATGGCGACCTTGCTTAGAAGGTGATGGAATTCCTGTCACCAAACTTTTTTTATTTTGGTGAAAATAATTTACTCTCTGTTGGCTCACATCCAAAGTAGATAGAAAAAATGTCTTACAAGTACGTATTTTCTGATTCGAAACATAAAAGTAATATCTAAAAGTGTATTGACATCGAGAATCCTTCTTGGCGATATTTTTTCTTTTCTTCTCGATTCTTTCTGTATTTTTGTCATAGAAGTGAAATTTGGCGTTATTAGAAAGGGCCCAAAATCCATTAAATATATTTTCTCTTTCTTGTAAACTAATCTTTCTGGCGCATAAATATTTGCACTTAGTTTCGCAGTCTTTAACAGTTTTTAAACATCTTCTTTTTCGGATGTTACCTATCACGTCTTGATATTCCTGACCTGACTGACACAATTTTTTGTTTATATTCATCTTCCATTTCTCAGGTTGTCTTTTACGTTTCCTGGTTAGTTGTTTATTTTCATCAGAACTCATGTTATTTTGTCCTTTTTGTCTTCTGTTTGAATTGGCACTTTCTTGGAGTTGAGGTGTTCCATCCGCTAGCAAATTTTCTACGCTATTTGGTTCTATTATCTCTTCTCCTTCGGTATTTACCACGCCTTCTTCAATATTTACCCCTTTCTCTTTAGGATTAACCTCTTCTTCTTTAAGAAATAAATCTTCTTCAGCATCTTGATCTGAGTCTGTAAATAAATGTATTTGGCTGAGTCAAAAATATTCCATATTTATTTAATTTGTACCTGCAACTTACCATTATTTAAAACATAGATCTTTCATTTCTGAATCTGATACTGTGTAATCTGGATCACGTATCGAATCATCGCTGTCTTCAAAATAAGAAAGCCGACAGTCACTGAAACAAAATTATTTGCCTAATAATCGCTCGTTCCAACAGCATATAAAAACAAGAAATAACAATGTAAATAAAGTATAAAAGTTTCCAATTTATATTGTTCTAACAGCCAATGTTATGAAAAAATGTAAGGTTATAATCGCATTAAAAGTGAATTTAGATAAACTGTCTTCTTAAATGTAATCAACACATTATTAAATAATGTACATAATACTTACGGGTCCAGTTCACCCTCCATGATACGTATTTCAATCGAAATTCCTTAAAATTGCACCACAAAACCACGTCGTGTTTATTTCTACGGCTTACATACAAAACTAAAACAGCAAAAATTATATTGTTCTATCAGACTAAAATTCTATCTTCTTATTGGTTGACCTGTTAGGACATTATAATATTAAAATATTTTCAAATATTAGTGATAGAACAATTTAATAATGGGTTTTTCTCAGTTTGTGTACTAAATTAAATAGATATTTCTATATTCATAGAACAAAAACTTTATGTACTATTTTTATAGTATAAAAAGCGGTTTCGCGCCAAAAGTGCAGTTAGAACATTATAATACTCAACCCACGATATGTCGAATGGGACTGTTCGTATAATTGCAATCAAACTTCCTTACAGGTAAGTCGTTTGATTTATTAATTATACCAAGCTTTATAACAAACATTGTATTGTTGGTGATTGCTCTCACTGATAGAGTTTGTCATGGATTCTTGGAGACCTTGCCCAAATAATTGTTCTTCTATGGGCATAGAATTTATTGTTTTCTTTAATTTTGGGTTTATATTTTGTAAAACTACGAATCTTCTGTGCATAGAGAGTGCTGTACATCGCAGATTAATTTTCCAGCGTCTACCAATTTTTTTTGGATGTAGTTGGTTTCCTCTGAGGGTTTTGTGTAGAGCTTGCTAGTTACTATGGCTAGTGCTGATGTGGCAGCTGCTAACTGATTTTGCAGTTGTTTAATGTAGTTGTCTTGAGTTAAGACGTTTTGAGTAGTTTTGTTTTCCAAGACTTCCTGCAGCTCTGAATTGAGGGATGGGCCTTTAAGTCCTTTTCCATTTTTAATGATAGGATATACATTTAGTAAATTCTGCCTGTCCTCTTTCTTAATACCTTTGAGGGCGAAGGAGTTCCATCTTGTTGCGATTTCTTCGTGAATCTCCTCTCCTTCCTCCTGTGTTTCAGTGGGGTTAACTCCTAATATTGATGTTGGATCCCAAGTTTCATCTGGTGCAGATTCATTGCTTGATGTTCAGGATTGCTCTGATTCGCTGTACATGGAATCTTCTTCAGAATCTGAGTCTGCTTCTGAACCTGTGTGTAAAATAATAAAGTGTAACAGACTGACTTAACGTGTCTAATGTTCAGCCGAAGTTCAAGCTGTTTTAATAAAATTCACCTAGTAATTAAAGATATGTCTCATTATTTACTTACAGGTTTAGTATATTTAGCCCCTTAGATTCGCTTCACCATTAGAAATATAATGCATGTTTATCTCAATATGCTTCATGTGAAGAAGCAATTTGAGTGTTATATTAAGGTTTATTCTTATTATCGATTTTTTCGATAGGATTCATGCGAAATCAGAATTTTGAAAAATTCAATATGCTTCATGCGAAGCAGTAATTTGAACTTACTTTGTTACCTTATACCCCTGCCAATATGATTCATGCGAAACAGAAATTTGGATGTGAAACAAGGTGAAGCCATTTTTGAAGATTGTAAAATTCGATATGCTTCATGTGAAGAAGTAATTCGATTTTATTTTGTTGCCTTAAATACCACTTTCCAATATGATTCATGCGAAACAGAAATTTGGAAGTGAAAAAATGTAAGCCATTTTGAGGTGCTGGTTTAAAATTCGGTATGCCTCGTGCGACTAGTAATTCGAGTTTATTTTGTTACCTTTGAAGGCTTTGATACCACTGTGAATAAAGGTGGAGCCATTTTAAGGAATGGCGATCGTTTTCATACTCGTAGTAAAATAGATCCTATCTGTTACTTACAGTTACTTATTTTAAAATTCGATATGCTTTATTCGAAGCAGTAATTCGAGTTTATTTACCTTTAATGCCACTTTTCAATCTGATTCATGCGAAGCAGAAATTTGGATTTGGAAAAAGGTAAAGCCGTTAAAATGGAATGGCGGTCTTTTTCATACACGCAGTAAAATAGATCGTGTCTGTTACTTACTTGAAGATTCATACCTGTATTGCTTTTTAAGTTTTTTCAGTTGCCTTTCCAGGCTTTTTAGTTTCTTTTTCCCACTGCTCTTTTTCGTTTTCTTTATTCTTCCCATTTTTATGGATGCTTTCGTTTGAACTCACTAACACTTATCACGGACCTGTTGATGCTTTGATACAACAAACTAGAATGACGTGTGTGGAGCGCAGCAGGACCGAGGACAGTAGGATAGAGGTGGGAACTAATAATGATTGATAGAGATGAGCGAATAAATTCGAATCTTTAAACTGTTGTATGACTTTAATATGACAAGCTTACTACAAGTAATTTTTGTAATATTACAATGGGACTGTGAAGTATAATAACATTTTGTATGACAATTTTATTCCTGCAAATTTAATTTAATTTATTGTTTTACACACCAATCGTCCGTATTTTAATTTCCATGCATAACCCTGAGTTGTCCCAACCTTGGTGATTTTTCCTTCGTAAGGACCCATACGGACACCTTTTTGAATTTTTTTAATTGCAAAAACACCTAAACCGTGTATGGATGAAGACTAAATTTCAAGGACACCTGTGGGTGCAGTTTTTCTTGCCCGATTCTCAGTGCCCATCGGGACAAAATTATTGTCCAAACAAATCAGCATTCCACATTTTGAACAATAATCAACATATTCTTCTTGACAATTGTCGCAAACTTAAAATGATAATTTATGTAGAAAATATAGATTTAAAGAACATACCTTTACAGTAGGGTGGGCCGATCTATACGACAAAAAAATAAAGTGCGGGATCCTAATTAGCCTGGGTGTTAGAAAGTTGTCACTACTGTTGTTGATCATTCATGCAAAATTTCGGCTCTGATAATTGCCGTCTTCAGGTGCCTAGTTCCTCTCGAATTTTCTACGAAGCTTGATACTGAAATGTGATTGAAATATGTAGCTCTTCGCTTATTTTACTCATCAAAAACACAGTTTTAATGAATGAAATAACCCACAACTCACCACGTGGAGGTGGCTGCATGGCGAGTTCCTCCATATCTCCCTCCCTACCTTCATATTTTCAAGAAAATTGCGAATTTATTGATCTAAAGCCTTTAGAAATTGCTGTTTTGTTTCAGTTTTCGGAATTTTTTTTCTGGAGGCAATCTTAGTTCGAATCAAGCCATCTCTGGATTCTGTTTCGCTTACTAAACCAGAGGCTTCAGTGACTGTTCTGATACATCTCTCAACAGATTGAGTATGACAAGGGTATTTTGAAATTTAAATGTTGTCAGGAACTCTCACAATCATTTCTTGCAAGACATCATCTGATACTTTTCTTATAAGTGGTGGTTCAGTTACGCTGACTGCCAGTTTATCAATTCCGTATAGTCTTGAGAATCAAAATTCAGTTTGGGGACTTTAAATTGTCTAATGTTTCTATTTTGAAGACCATTTACCCTGCATTTCAGAATTCTTCTCAGCGCAAGTTCTCTCATAGGGTTTCGGTCATCTGTATTGACAAGCATTGACAATAAAATATTTTCTGGATGAGCAAAAAATGCATGCCTCTGTATGACAGGATCAATCACATCTTTAACTGCAGCCGGTAGATATACCGATCTTCTTATGAGAGAGAATAAATGCCTGGAGCCTTCAGTGCACGATGATCTCACTTTAATATCAAACCAAACAGGAGCATAAACTTTCAATATAAATTCCTTTATTGTTTTCAATTTGTTTGAAGGCTGTTCAGAAGCTACATAAAGTCTCAAGATCCTATTTGCTGTTGTCAGCCATCTTGCATGTGCGAGTTTTCCCGGATCACGCTTTGACAAATTTGGGGGTACATCACTCTTTGCGATTGCAGAACACATTTTATATAAGTAAACTTGCTGTCATTTAGGTCGAATTCCAGTAGTTCGCCATCAATTATTTTGAACTTTTTTACTGGAAGGTTCTGACATGTTGGAAAAAGCTTTCCAATCCGGCCTGAGAATCCTTTCGGGTCGTTAGTTTTACCATCCATTTTCTCAATCAAATGTCAAAGTGGAAGTTCATTGGCATGCAGTAGGCAAATCAGCCATTGTGACGAGTATCCAATAGCTTTTTCCAATTGCTTAACAACTCCGTTCTTGAAACCTGTATTCACGACAGTTCCGTCGCAACCAACAGCAGAAATTTCGTCAACAGGTCCTAGGTTAACTCTTAAACAATTCATAATACTTGATGTTATGTCTTTAGCATTGCCGGAATTAGGAGTTACATGCCCGAGATAAATAGATCCAGGTTCTGCAATAAGAACAATATGTTCCTCCAAAACGTACCGTTTATGATAAGTGCTTCCTTTTTTCTCCGTCAGTAATGTTCTATCCTTTCTACTATCAAAGTAGAGCCCTGTAATTTCCAAATTTCTCGTTGATTCCTTTTTTATCTCAGAACTTCGTCTCTTTCGTTCTCTCCTCAATTTACTACGGTTTAAAAGTTTTGAAGGGTCGTTCCTACTGACAACGCCGAGATTTTGCAAGTCGGCATTCGCTAAAAAGGAAGCACATCTATCGGAAACTTCAGTTCGATCGCAAGCCTCTGCCAAATTTCTAAAATCCACTCCTCGAAGTTTCCTTTTGTCTTGCTTTTGAAGTTGATGGACCATCTATTTGAAAATCAGTCTCGCTTGTTAACGAACTTTCAGACAAAGACATATTTTCTTCTACCTGCGAGGAAGTTGCATCTAGAACAGTAACTTTTCCTACAAGCTCCGATTTCTCTGGATCGCTTTGGTTCCCTAGCTGCTTTATCGATTTGATCTTTCTTTGCATACGTTTTTCTAAAACCTTTGTCAATTTAACGTCAACGTGTTCAGTTTTAAGCACTTTAATTTTGCATTTGCAGGAGTCAAAATATTTACACTTGCACGTCGATATATCAGAAAGTTTTTCACTTGATTCTTTGAATTTTTTCAACTTCTCTAAACACTTTTTATTATGTACGGATCCAAGGTTTTTTTTTTCAAATTCCGAAACTTTCCGACATACTCCTTAATCAGTCGAGAAATATCTTGCTCACTCACCACTTGTAAAGAAGCATTTTCCGAAATGGTTTTCAATGCAGATATAACTTTTTTAGAGACTTCACTTACACTCGGATCTTTGCCATTATTATCGTCTTTACCTATTTGTCTGTACTGCAAATACGCTCTCATAACATCGCCGTAAGTCGGAAGAATGTTGCACTTAAGTTCTGTTGGTGCTCCAAACACCTCACATTCAATGTTTTTACGTGTATTCGGCATTTTTCACACAAACGAACAACTAAACCTCACTAAAAATATTAAGCAGAAGTCAATACGATCTTAACGCGTCGACTGCGTAGACAACTAATCTTGTCGGAACAGGAATGGCAGACTTGCGGCGCGGCGGTAGCGTGTTTGCCGGGGTTTACAAAATATTGGAGATAGCTGCTCGACGTTGCTTGTGGATTTGGATCGCTGAGCTCAGTTGAATACTTTTTGATGAATTTTTGAGCTTATTAGTTTCTATTTTTAATCAGCACAGCTATATAGAGATGAAAGACCATATAAATCGCTCATTTGGATTTTATGATTTTTTTCATAATTTTCCCAATTTTAACCTCAAGTAGGCACCTGAAGATATCATCTCAGAAAGCCCATATTTTGTAGCATAAATACTACACTGAAATGACAACTTTTGGTTATCCAGAACATACGGTATTCGAGAAAAAACATTTTCGGCCCACCCTACTATACAGGGTGTTATTTGATATACACTCCATAAATTATTTATGGAATAATTAAAAATGAACCTAAATTTTAAACTGCCTATATTTATTAAAAATGCATGTATTTCACCGCGGGTTTTGGAGTTGGATAGATTTTTCTTCGTCTTTTAAAAACCAAGCCTTTATTTTGCCATTTGCCAATTATATACAGGGCATTTTACAAAGTGTGCATTCATGTAAAATTCACAAAATTTTAATTTGGGATTTGGGAAGTACGAGCGTGTAAAAATTGAAATCTTTTGAACCGTTGGTTACAGCTTTCCTTTGAGTAGTTCCTGTATTAGTTTCATCTCGGTGCCGTGCGTGATAAATAATAAATAGGGTTTTTAAAAAATCTTTCTTTAGACAAAAACACTCTTAGTGCTTTCTTTGCCATAAGGAATTTTAATTATCAAGGATGGTAAAGCTATAGTTAATGTAAGTCATTTATACAAAGTGATTCAAAAGAAAACCTTAAATTTAAAGATTTTTAATAATTTGTTTTATTGGGTTATTGGGGATAAAAAAAAAATATTAACGGATGTTTTCTCCACGAGCATCAATAACAGCCTGGCAACGATTCGGAATGCCAAGTATTAAATTCCGTATAAACATAGGGTCAATATTATTCTATATACGCTGTGGAGCCCGTTGTACTTGCTCCAATGTTTCTGGCGGATTAGGTGCCTTGCGAAGCTCAACACCCATTTTATTCCACAAATGCTCAATGGCATTAATATCTGGGCTTCGGGCTGGCCAATCCATTACGGCAATATCAGTTTCATCTAAATACTCCCTTACTACTCTTGCCGTATGCGGTCGTGCATTATCGTGCATAAACAGGAAGTCTTCCCCAATAAATGGAGCAAATTTTTTTATCCTCTTTAATTTATCACGGAATTTTTTACATGTATTAATTAGTAACAGTGTTTCATTGTAATTCCATTTATTCATTTTTTAGGGCTTATTTGTTGATCTACTACTGTTGTTGGGTTGGCTGCTTTTTCATGACCCTCCTTATTTGGTTTTTTAAATTATTTTAACAGCTTCATATGCATTAGATACAAAAATCTTAATTTGTTACATACATGTAAACAATAAATAAAATATGCTTACTATCTTTGTTGAACCAGAATTATTGTCCACTTTCATCCTCTACAATTTCTTCCATTTTTTACAACCTGTATCAGAGTCAGAAATCCAAAGCCCAATTGAATTACGATTTACGAATTTTACGATAACAAAAAATAATTACAAATTATAAGTATTATAACTCATAACCTTACTAATAAAGTATGTTTGCACATGAATTTGACATACCAATACTTCCCATTTTTTTCATTCCCTTTATTCGGTCAAAATTCACCGAATGAGAAGTTTGAGCGGAATAAATCAATCAACACAATAAAATGCTCATCCTGTTCATACTTTTCACACCGGTGACAAAAGATTTAGCAATAAAACGCGCCATATATGTCGTATTTGTAATTCAAATACGATATATAATCTTAACATAGTGCACATACGATGTATTTACTTAACAATGAAATAGATACGACAAATCGTTCTAACAACGGATTTGGTGCGTAATCTGACTGAATATTTTGATGCTTAGACCTTGTAGATAACCTCAAAAAAGTATTTATTTACTTTTGTTCAAATAGTTTTGTATGTTTTTTTTTTTAAATAAGTGAACTGTGGGCTTAAACTTATTGTTGAAGTGATACCTACTTTATAGGACTTTAAAAGAAAGTAAGTTAGTTGTCATTCTATGTTTGATCATATCAGCACATCATTGTGTAGCCGGCGAAGCCTTTTATTAACATAGAACCTATTTTTAGGAGAAGAACAAATATAAATACGAATTTCTGGCAATTAACGGATTTAGAGCAAAAAACTTTTATATTAAATATGGCAGAAAGGAAAAATGCAAAGAGAAAGGTATCTTTAGATACACGAAGGTCAATGAGTTTAACCTATAGGCTCAAAGATGATAGTGATACAATACAGGAAGTATGCAAAATATTTTTCTTGGCAACTCTTGGATATTTGCCTAACAATGATCGAATTATTCGAAGTGCATTCTCTTCCGCTACTAAACAGTTAAAGGCAGAAAAATCTCGACGAGGTAGCGCTAGTTCATCGAAAAAGGTAGATCGTGCTATAATCAGACAACATAGAGTCTTTTAACCCGTCAATTTCTTATTAGAGATACCTTCCTAGTGATGTTACCATAGTAATGATGTACAATGACTTTAAGGCAAAACATCTAATAATTTTTCCTATTATTTATATAGAGATGTCGTGAGTAAAATGAATATTTCATTCTCTGCACTTGGACATGAAAAGTGCTTCACTTGTGCCGCATTCAAAAATCATGAAAGCAGTACCAATCACGACTCCAAGAATTTGGAAAATCACTGCGCCGACTGTAAATCATGGAATAAATATATTGGAATGGCGAAGTCAGCTCGACAACAATATCCAATTGACGCTGAAGCTGATAATCCCAATATACTGGCATGTTTAGCAGATCTTCAGAAGGTAAGATATTTATTTTATATTTTTTTCTGATAGTTTTTTTAAGGTCATTATGCTTTTTCGGTGCGAAATGTTTAAGGAGGCGATTTTCGTACCTCATATCATTGCTTTCAATGAAAGTATTGGGCCAATAGGAAAGAAAACAAAAATTTCCCACGGCAGTAATTTGGCACGAAGCCTTGTCAGGACGTTCCAAACAAGACATCATTAGTGCTTTCTATGCTTTTTTCTGGATAATAGAGATGCTGAAATGTTATTTTGTGGTTGGATAACTGTGCAGCCCAAAATAAAAACTGGACCTTTTTTAGTTTCTGCGTATATCTAGTAAATTCTGCTGACGTCGCTTTAAACTCTAACTCTGAAATATTTTGAACCGGGACATACGTTCATGTCAGCTGATCCTTTTCATCACCAGGTAGATAAATCCTTGAAGCAAATGAAAAAGTATATGATTTCGGAGATGCCGTTCAAAAAGCGCACTCGTCTAAAGTGAAATTTATTGAAATGAAAATTAACAATTGTTTTAATTGGGACGACAAGAGTTTTCAATATAAATTAGGCAGAATAAATCATCGGCCATATTTAAGTGATATGGTGCAGATTAATTTTAAAAAAGGAAAGCAGTCATTAGTCCGTATTTATAAAAATGAAGCATTTACTTTCAAGTAAAAGGTAGAAGCAAAAGGTAGAAGTAAAAGGTTTTGCTACAATTCGTATTCATAATCTCTACCTTTTCCTTGCAAGGAAATGCTTCGGATAAATGAATTAAAAGGTACAGAGATTAGCCGCTAGCGATTTCGATAACTAGTTTAAACTTGCAGTGTGCAATCAACGTGTGTGTTCTGCGACAGTGTTTATTTTGTTTTATACTTAAAAACTATTCGCAAGTGAACTGAGGTGTAGTTGATCCTAATTTATTTGTGCAGTGTTGAAAGATAAAAAAATTATAATGTCTGGTACAGATAGTGAACAAGAAGGTAGCGAAGATGTGACAAGCGAGATGATGTTTATCGCTGAAAGAGTCGTAGCATTTCCAGAGATTCTCGAGAAATCTCAAATTCCAGGAATGAAAAAGAAGAAAACTGCTGCACTAACTCAAATCGTTAAGGAATACGTGACCCTGTTTGGTAAAGAGATGAAAATTAAAGCTTTCATGAAAAAAGTAAACAATATGAAAACACGATTGAAAAATAAAACATAAAAATAAAACAGGGAACAAGCCCATTCGCCTTCTGTCCTGGGAAAAAGTAATGTTGACGGCCATGGATGCAGACGTAAATCCTGTACTAAGTCGGGTACCAGGTAAGAAATACTTTCATGCCCACCATTAGTACGTACTTACTATGTATATTTTTATTAGGAGCTCTTGCAATTGGTGTGCCAACTGAAGCTACTTTAAGTGATGGCATTATGACGGAAAGTGATGCCCATCAGATGACTGGAGTGGTAGCTGACAAAAAGCGATCATACATATCAGCTGCTGCAAAAAAATTAGCTCCGAAGCCTACATTTGTTTGAGAAAAACCAGAAGAGTCTGATGAGACAAGGCAGTTAACGACAACCCAGCTTCAACGATTAGTTTTAGTTGAGCAACTGAAAGTTGCTCGTCTTCAACAACAATATTTTTCCGCCAAGCTACAGAAATTGGACGAGACATCCAACAAAGAACCTTCGAAATGGTATGTTGACGTGGGAGATAAAACTTACTGTAATCTGTAATATATCTAAGTATATAAAATTTATTTCAGAGAATACAAAATAAGCGATTTCTTTGCGCGTAAGTTTATTTTTATTTTAAGCAACTATAACTTTGTGGGTTCTTAGTAAACAATATTTACATAGCATCAGTGGTGGCTTGTCCATAAGTGCACTGGTGCTCAGCACTACTAATAATTTTGTATAAACTGCATATTTTTTATTACTTTTCAATAAAACTATAGAATTTCTAATAAACCATGGTGTATTAGAAATTCAATAGTTTTGTTCAAGTGTTTGTTATGTCAAGACGTAATAAAAAATATGCAGTTTATACAAAATTACTGGTAGTACTTTGCATAAAATGAAAGGATTTAAACATTATAAACCGATATTGTTATTAGTAATAAGATGAGCCAATTCTTCTCGCCGTCCTTGTCCCTGTGCGCGAATAGCATCTACATTTTCTTCTTCTATATATTGCAAGTCTTGTTGTTCCTCTTTTTCATCTTCTTGAAAATCTGCATCTTCTAGTTGCTTAGCTATATTGTGTAACACAGCACAAGCAATTATAACTTTTGGAATACTGTTAAATTTCACTCTGCATTCATACTTCAGAATAGGAAATCGCCGTTTCAGTTGCCCAAATGTATGCTCAATCACAACTCGCTCTGATGTAAGCAGCCTGTTGAAGGCTGTCTGATATTCCTCGTGGGGGTTGGGGTAGGGAGTCATGAGACGCGACATTATACCATACCCACTGTCACCTAATAAGACAGTGTTTCTTGTCCTTTTCATGATTTCACACACTGCCGAATTCTTCCATATACAAGAATCATGAACTAATCCAGGCCAACTTGCATCTATACTAGTTATAACACAATTCTGGTCACATGTGACCTGCACATTAATACTGCTAAAACCTTTTCGATTTATATATTGTAAGATTCTTTTCTTTCTTCTGAGAAAATATAATCCATACAAGTGACACCCTGAGACTCGGAAGTACTCGAGCGCCAGTTTTTTTAATGTGGTTTGCTCCACAGTTCGGGCAGCTTCTAGTGGAGGTGACGAAATAACTCCAGGGCTCTTGTTAATATCAGACTATCAATAAAAGAAGGTAACAATAACGGGCTTTAATCGCTATTGTTACGTAAAAGTATTCTGAAGCTGAAATAAAAAATGAAGGGGAAAGGTCGACACACAATTATAAGCCAGAATTCAAAATTAACACATGTATTTCTTACGAAAGCTAATAACAAATGTCATAAAATATTTCAAAGCCTCACCCTGAACAAAAAAAAAATAAGAGAGAGAAAAAAAATAGCGGTTGCGGAACGGTAGCTGTGACAGGACGGAGCTCAATCAGACGTTTATTAATTATTTACAGAAATATATCAAAGGAATAAATTAAGTTTACAAATTCGGCCCGTGGCTGTGTTTTATTTATTATAGTAAATTCTAAATGCAAACGGAATAATGGTTTAATGGTTTTCAAAAATTAATTAGTACCAGGTATTGGAAACGTTATTATTCCCAAACAATTTTTGTGTTAAATTAAAAAAAAAATATGGAACTCACCCTATATTTATAAAAAAAATTAAATATTCTTGTCGGTATTATTTCTTTAGGAAAATATAAAAGAAGCAATGACAATTTCCCTTATTAATATCAAAACTTTCTTTAATAATAAAAATATTCAGTAACTACCCCAATTACAATATCCAAACGGCTAGTCAAAAATAAAGCGAAAACTACCCCAGCAAGCGGAAACTACCCCAAAGCAATATCCAAAATGCTAGATAAGCCCTTGTGAACCACTCAATGCAGACAGTCTCTAGATTCAGATATTATTCCAAAATTATTTTCAAAATAAAGCGAAAACTACCCCAACAAGCGGAAACTATCCCAAATCAATATCCAAAATGCTAGATAAGCCCTTGTGAACCACTCAACGCAGGCAGTCTCTAGATTCAGATATTATTCTAAAATTATTTTCAAAATAAAGCGAAAACTACCCCTACAAGCGGAAACTATCCCAAAGCAATATCCAAAATGCTAGATAAGCCCTTGTGAACCACTCAACGCAGGCAGTCTCTATATTCAGATATTATTCTAAAATTCTTTTTTTGAAAATAAAGCGAAAGCTACCCACCCAACAAGCGGAAACTACCCCAAATCAATATCCAAAATGCTAGATAAGCCCTTGTTAACCACTCAACGCAGGCAGTCTCTAGATTCAGATATTATTCTAAAATTATTTTTGAAAATAAAGCGAAAGCTACCCCAACAAGCGGAAACTATCCCAAAGCAATATCCAAAATGCTAGATAAGCCCTTGTGAACCACTCAACGCAGGCAGTCTCTAGATTCAGATATTATTTTCTAAAATTTGGTTAATTAAGGAACTCCCCCTTATAATAGATACAAAATCCAAAATTACTGACTCTACTTAAAAGTAATACGAAATTTATTCTTGTTATGGCACCAATTAATTTTAAACCTGTTTTATAGGAAAAATAGGAATGCATATAACTTATATTTCAGTAATTTCAAAAATTTCGGAAAAGAAAACCCCGAAATTTTGATACAACATAAAACGGAATACTAAAAAAAATCAAAACTAGGCAAACACAATAAACACAGCCGATAAAGCAAATTTCCTACCTGAGCACGGTCGGGGCAACGGGATTCGGAGATCTTTTCTAATTAGATGTTTACCGGACTGACTGTCGACGAGAACTGAACTGCTTCTCGCTTTGCTTGCTGCTTTTATAGTTCGCAACGCGCGTAAAAGGGTTGTCATAGCTACCGTGGTCGGCCGCTCACTCACAACATTTATAGATGACTAAAGGGGTTTCAAACACAGAATTCGCTTGAAAATCGAATTACGACGTTCTTAATATAAGGATCCAATGGCAAGTAATTGAAATTTAAAAACGATGTTAAATTCGATGGATTCTATGTTTTTCAAGTAATTCGATTAAAGTAACTTCGGTATATTTAAAAAAAATGCTAAATTCGAGTGGCGGCGACGGTGTGGTGGGTGGCGGTGATGTCTGTATGGACGGCAATTTTTCGGTTTCCAGGCTCGGACGACGCTTGGGAAAATAGATTACGTGGGTTCGGCCGGTATCCTCATCCAGATACTCGTGGAACTCGGCGAGCGTGGCGTTTGGAATGACTGCCATGGTACTGAAATATATAATTCATCAGTGGACTAGATACTGCATGCACTGGGTGTCGGTGATTCTCATACCTTACATGGATATGATGGTGAAGGAGATTCCGGGAATACTGAATGAGAGAGAGAAAAAAAATGTACTTCATTCCGAAATACCCGAATTTTGGCAGCCAAAAAAACATTTTTTTTATTATTTATTTAATGTATAGGAAACACAAAAAAAATAAATTTTCAATATTAATAAAAAAAAACTTAACTTTACTTATGAATAATTACATGAAAAGGGGAAAAAAACGGTGGCCCCATCTCGTTATGATGGGAGGGCCGGTAGGG